TGTCTAGAGGGAAATTTATAGCAATAAATGCCTACATGAGAAGAGAGGAAAGACCTAAAATTGACACCCTATCTTCAAAATTGAAAGAGCTTGGGGAGCAAGATCAAAAAAACTAAAAAACAAGCAGAAGACAAGAAATAAGTAAGAGCAGAGCAGAACTGAAGGTGCTAGAGACACAAAAAACCCTTCAAAAAAATCAAAAAATCCAGGAGCTGTTTTGTTTTTTTGTCTGTTTGTTTTCATAGCAAATTTTGTCTAAACTTCCAGTATGTCTGATATTAGTATGTCCAGCTCTATTTTGGTTACTGTTCGCATGATGTATCATTTTGTGTGTGCTTATTTTCAACCTATTTGTGCCTTTGAATCCAAGGTTTTCTAAATAGTACATAATCGAATTGTAATTTATTCAATTTTTCTAATCGCTGTCTTTTAATTAATGTCTTAAATTTATTTACACTTAATGCAACTAGTGATAAAATAAAATTTATGCTTTCCATTGTGATCTTTATTTTCTATAGATCTCATATATTTTTCCTCCTCTGTTTCTCCATTGAAGCTCTCCTTTATGTTAAACAGGTATTTACTAGTAACTATTTTATTTTTTTCATTGTTTACTATGTTTAAAGTTATTTTCTTTTTGGTTGCACCAGGAATTACAATTAACATTTAAAATCTTGACAATTTAGTTGATTGATACAACTTAATTTCAATAACATACAAACATTTCACCCCTATATAGCAGATTATAGCTTCCTTTCTCTTTTCTCCTTTTTGTTGTTATTGGTGTACAGATTGCAACTTTAGACACTTTTTCCGTCAACACAGATTTACAATTATGTCATATGCTTTTGTTTGTTAAGTCAGGTAGGAGAATAAGCGTTACAAACAAAAAGTACACTTATGTTGTCTTTTATTTATCTACATTTTTACATTTACTGGTGCTCTTTATTCTTTGTGTAAATTTGCATTACTCTCTGGTGTCCTTTCATTTCTGCCCAGAGGATTTATTTCAGAATTTCTTGTCTAGCAGGATGACTAGCAACACATTCTTTCAGCTGTGGTTTTTCTGTAAATAATTTAATTTATTCTTCATATTTGAAGGACACTTTTGCTCAATATAGCATTCTTGATTGACAGTTTATTGCTTTTAACACATTAAATATATTATCCCATTCCATCCTGGTTTCTTATGAGAAGTCAGCTGTTAACCTTACTGAGGATTCCTTGTAAGTGATGAGTCATTTTTATACTGATGCTTTCAAGGTTATGTTTTTCCTTTCACAGTTTGACTCTGATATATCTAGGTATTAACCTTTTTGTGTTCTGTTTGTTGAATGTGCAGGTTAATATTTTTCATCAAATCTGGTCAATTTTTGGCTATTATGTTTTCAACTGTTCTTCCCTCTCCCTTTTCTCTTTTTCAAAACCCCCTATTATGTATATTTTGGTACACTTGATAGTGTCCAAAAGTCTCTGACGCTCTGGTTGTTTTCAATTCTTTTTATTTCTGAGTGTATTATCTCAATTAAGTTGTCTTCTTCTTTGCTTTTTTTCCCTTCTCTCTGCTCAAATCTGCTGTTAAAAACCTTTAGTAAAATTTTAATTTTAGTTATATATTTTACTTCCAGAATTTCTATTTTGTTCTTTATATAAAAATGAATTATTTATTAATTTTCTCTATTTGGTGAAACACTTTTTTCATATTTTCCCATAGTTCTTTAGAGGACTATCTGTAGTTATTTGAATATATTATAACAGCTGATTTAAAGTATATCTAGTAAGTTTAATATGTGGGCCTCCTCAGGAATAATGTATACCAACATTTTTTATTTTATTCTGTCTATAGTCCATATTTCCTTTTCTTTTTCATTTTATATTATTTTGTTTGAGTTTTGTTTATTATTTTTTAATTTTTAAAATCTTTTTTATTTCAATAGTTTTTGGAGAACAGGTGGTATTTGGTTTCATGAAACAGTTATTTAGCGGTAATTTCGGAGATTTTGGTACACCCATCTCCCAAGCAGTGTACGTTGTAGGCAATGCATAGTCTTTTACCCCTCATCCCCCTCATAGTCTTCCCGCTGAGTCCTCAAAGTCCATTATATCATTATTATGTCTTTGTATCCTCACAGGTTATTTTCAACATACTTTCTGTTTTCTTTGCCTATCATATAATTTTTTTTTTTTATTAAAAACCAGACATTTAAAAGAATTGAATTTAGTAACTCTGGGAATCAGATTATCCTCTCTCTCTCTCTATGGTTTGTTTCTGCTTTTTTGGTGATTTTAAAAATCAAATTCTGTAAACTCTGAATGCTCTGTTTTTTGTGGGCACTGGAGTCTCTGCCCAGTTAGGTTAGTGGTCAGCTAGCAGTCAGATAAACATATTTTTTGATGCCTGCAACAAACAAGCCTTTCTGTTTTATCTAAGGGACTTTAGTCAATATTGGGGTGTCGTCAACACTCAGACAGGTGGTTTACATCTCCATTTCAGCCTTTACTTGATGCTTGTGAAAAACCTCAAGGTTAGCCAGACATAAGAGTCTAGGACCTTCTTAGGTACTTCCCGAGCTTGTGCACATCCCTGGGCATCCCCACAGCCCTGTACATACATTTAGGCTTCTATATTTCCAGGAATATGTTAGAGCATGCCAAAAATCCCCTGTGAAATCCCATTTCCAAGCTTGGCCTTTTAACATCTTTGTCTAGCCTTTTAACCCCATTTGCTATTCACTGCCCAGGCAGCCATAATGTACAGCAATTGGTTCCTATTGTTTTCATTGAAAGGAACAAAAGGAAATAGATTCCTCGCACTGGGAAAGCCCTGAATCAGGTTAAATAAAGAACATTTCTGTGAGTAAAGTTTTCCAGAGAGCTACCAGATAGTTCAAATAATGACAGTCCTCTGGAAATTAGATTTTGAAGGAATCTCAATTTAGTGCTGTCTCCTCCAGAAGCTTCCAGGCTAATTTTCAGTGTGAATCCAGGCTTTTGGTTTTCAAGGATACCATGGAGCTGGAAAAGGAGAATGAGAATAGAGCAAGTTAAAATGCCACAAAACCTGCTCTTCCTACTAAGATGCACCAAGTTTATTGAATACACAGTCTCATGGATCGCTCTAATTTCCAAAGTTTTAAGAAAGCAGATTCTGATAATTTTTGTCAGTGTTCTCCTGATTTAATGAAAGAGAGAATTTTCAAAATTATTTTCTCTGCCATTTTTGTCTATATCACTTTATAATTTGATTTTTACATGGCCTTTCACAGATTTATCTTAAATGTGATTTTAATTAGTTTAATATTGTAATTTAGGATTACATTTTTCTAACATACACAGAGTATATTCTCTTATATTGAAAGATATGTAATCAGTGATTTCATCCCTTGTGATAAATATAATCACACTTAGTAGTGTAATCTCATGAAATTTATATATCAATTGTGGTAAAAACTGCTTCTGGAGACTAATATAAATGGAATAAGTGAATAATTCAGAAATATGACAATGATCTTTGTGGTGAAATAAAAGTAAAAATCACCAGAAGCAGAGAGTGTTGTTTTCCAAAATGTCATGGTGATAAAAGACAATTAAAATAAAGTTCAAAAGTGTGGAAATAATAAATGAAAACATAATTTTGCCATTTTATTAGTAGACTACATTTTGAAGGTAGTGTTGTTTTAATGGGATTAAACAATAAATAAATTATACAGGCAATTTACGGGAGATATGGATAAATCAGTTCAGTTTGAAACAGTTATAAAAAGAGGAATCATTGAAGAAGAAAAGTTAGAATTACAGGAGTTTAGAGTTAGAAGGAATTATAGACAACATCTGGTTCAACATGTTCATTTTTTTAAGTGAAATAATGAGATTTAGAAAGGCTAAAACACTTGGCCAGAGTTAAACATTGAGAAATGGACCTAAAACGTTGATTAAAAGATTTACTAAAAGGTAACTAAAAGATGACTCTGGTTTTGAGCTGGACAATGTCCTAAAAGGCAGCTCAGAGTACTTTAGACTCAAGACTAGTGTCTTGTCTAGACTTAATCTTGTCTAGACTGAAGTCTAGACCTCCTTCTCTAAAATGCCATGTATAGTTGCTGCCAGTGCCTATCAACATGATAGTTTGGTATATGGAGTAGGATTTGCTTAACATAAAATTCTCAGAAAAACCTAGCTAGGAGTCCAGACATTGTGTTATCAGGTTTTAGCATTTTCCATGTCTTTTTTAAACAAAGCATCTTTCATCCTGTGAGTCAATACATATTTATGGAATACTATAAATTACAGGCATCTTGCTAGGCGGTAGAGATACAAAGAGACAGAAGTAACAGCGCTGTCCTAAAGCACATCCAACTGTACTATGCTTGGAAGAGCAGCTATTTTAAATCAAAGAATCACAGCACCACTTGGTGAGTGCTCTTCCTTTAGTATGAACCAAATACTGCAGGAGCACAGAAGATGGACAAGTTAATTCTTCTCTGAGAAAGCTTGAACAGATTAGGTATGGAAATATGTTTTAATTGATACAGAGAAGACGAATTGTAGAGTTTATAGATGAGGAAAGGGTGGGTAAAGAGAAGAGGAAGAGGATGCCAGGAAGACAGCAGCATGTGCAAACCCGGAAGTGGCACTAACGCCTGGTGTGTTCATTCCTTGTGATTCACAGAGGATGTTAAAGAAGGGAGGAATGTGAGACGAGGCTAGATAGCTCTGATAGGACTGAATTAACAGGGTTGCCATTCTTACTAATGACAATTCCAGGCAAGAAATGTAGTGGCTGCTGTGGTGGGTTGAGCTTTCCAGATTCCCCTTCCAGGCTGTGAGACAGCCCAATGAGACTCATGTAAAAAAATAATTCATATTTTTTTAGTCTATTGTTTTTTCTTGTTAGTTTGTTTTGGTAATTTGTCATACAATAACAAAAGACTAACACAGGAGCCAAGAAATGATTTCATGCAAAGGCCTGATCAGATGTCTTACTTTTTGTTTTTGGAAAGATGACTGGTTGTGAGCTGGGCAATGTCTTGAAAGGCAGTGAGGAAGCCATTTGTCAGGTGAGTGTTTCCCAACTGAACATGGGCAACATGGCTTTGATGATGAAGAGAAAGGCACAGAGTTAGAAGACATTCTTGCAGAAGAACTGCTTAAAGCTTTAACAATGTAAACACTTTCTGCTCTATTATCTGTCTTTGATTCCCTGACAAGAACAAAAACTTCAGAACGGTATACTCTGAGAGCTACTGCTGGGTGGAGAACTTTTTGATAGAGAACATTCTGCTCTAAAGTGATGTAAGATAAGATTGTATCCTTATTCCTTTTAAAATTTTTAATGATGTAATATACCTACAAGAGAGGATATGCTGCATAAGTAAGGACATTGTTAAAAAATAAAGTGAGAACCTATGTATCCAATTCTGAGCTAAAGCAAATATATATATCATCAATACCTTTGAAGGCCCTTTGTGTGTCTCTCTATTTTCATTCTCTCAGCCTTTGTTCTTTTTAAGAAGAATGCTTAAGACTATGTTTTTTCTCCAAAACACAAATTTATAAGATTCGTAAAAGAGAACAAATTTTGATACATGGAATTTTTTTATCATTTAATTTTACACATTTAAAAGTTTTTCTTTGTGTTCTTCTATGACCCATCTAAAATAAATTTTGAAACTTAAAAATATTATGATTCTTTTATAAGCTATTTATTGTTACTTAATTTTAACTCAATACTTTTTCAGAAGAGAATGTAATCTATAACATATTGATTATTTAATTTTTGTTGGGTTAATGTCAGAATTACCATGAATTAAATTTTATAAATATAACATGTACTCTTGAAAAAAATGTGTCTTTTCATGATATTGGATGAATTTAATGTTCTTCTATTTTTGCATTATATTATGCTTATTTGTGCTGTTCAGGTATTCTTAGAGATTTCTTATTTTCTCTGTTAACATATCATTAGTTGAAATGCATTTAATAACTATGATTCTAGGTTTAAGGTAAAATTAACTTTAAAGTTCTGTAAAATTTTGTTTCATATATTTTTAAGGGAGGTTATTTGGTGCATTCAATTTTAGAACTGCATGTCTCCTTTCTGAATTGTAACTTTTACTGTAAAAAAGTGATCTTTTTCATTTGGCTTTGCTATGATTTGAATATTTGTCCCATCAGAAGCTCATGTTGAAGTTTAATCCCCAATGTGGTAGTATTGAGGGGGATTCTTTAAGAATTGATTGGATTATAGGGATTCTCCACTCATAAGTGGATTAATCCAGTCACGAATTAATGGTTTAATAGGCTAATGGGTTAACAAGTTTCAAAGGAGTGGAACTGGTGGCTTTATAAGAAGAGGGAGAGACCCGAGCTAGCAGGCTCAGCCCCCTCACATGTAATTCCCTGCATTGCCTTAGAACTCTGTAGAGTCTCCACCAGTAGAAAGGCTCTCACTAGTCACAGGCCCCCAACCTTGGACCTCAGCCTCCAAAAGTGTAAGAAATAAGTCCCTCTTCTTTATAAATTACCCAGTTTCAGGTATTCTGTTATAAGCAACAGAAACAAACAACCAACCAACCAAAAAAAAAAACTACAACAGATTATTATAATTTTTTCCTTAAGGGATTATATGTCTAGTATTAAGGTAGCTATGCAAGTTTTCTTCATATTCGTATTTTCTAGTACATAATTATACATTCTTTAACATTAAACTTTCTAAATAGAAGCATATCTTGTTTTATTGAGGTTTACGTCACTATGCTGCACAGATATTGCTTTTTACTTTAATAAATTTAAAGTTTATGTCAGCTTTGTATCAAGCAAGTCTATTTGGTGCCATTTTTTCCAACACCCATGTTCTCACTTCATATTGTTGTGTCATATTTTAGTAATTTGCACAATATTTAAAACTTTTAAAATTATATGTGTCATGGTGACCTGTGATCAGTTATCTCTGATTGTTACTCCTGAAATTGTTTCATGCTGTGTGTCTTCTGAGTGCTCCACTGACAGACATTTTTCTCTCTTGCTTCCTTTCCTCAGGCCTCTCGATTCCCTGAGACCCAACAGGATTGAAATCAGGCCAATTAATAACCCTATCAATGTTTAAGTGAAAAAAAAGAATCACATATCTCTCACTTTAAATCAAAAGGTAGAGATGATTAAGCTTTGCAAGAAAGGCAAGTCAAAGGCTGAGATAGGCCAAACGTTGGGCTTCGTGCACCAAATATTTAGCAAATTTGTCAATGTAAAGGAAAAGTTCTTGAAAATTAAAAGTGCTACTCCAGCAAACACATGGATAATAAGAAAGCAAAACATCCTCGGTGCTGATATGGAGAAAGTTTGAGTGATCTGGATAGAAGTTCACACCAGCCACAACATTCCCTTAAGCCAAAGCTTAATTCAGAGTAAGGCCCTAACTCCAGTTTTATGAAGGCTGAGAGAGGTGAAGAAGCTGCAGAAGAGAAGTTTGAAGCTATCAGAGATTTGTTCATGAAGTTTAAGGAAAAAAGCCATATTTACAACATAAAAATTCATGGTGAAGCAGCAAGTCCTGATGTAGCAGCTACAGCAAGTCATTCAGAAGATGTAGCTAGGATCACTAATGAAGACAGCTACACTGAATAACATACATTGATTTTAGATTAAACAATCTTAAACTGAGGAAGAATCTCTTTGGTACACTCAAAAAAGCATATGCTGCATACATAATTGCAATGTTAAAGAGTAAAGTGAGAATCCATATACCCAATTCTTAGCTAAAGCAAACAAAGTTATCAGTACCTTTGAAGGTCCCTCGTGTGTCTCTCCATTTTCAGATGTCTTTCTGTTGTTGTTGTTTAATGTGTGTTTTCTCTGTTCCAGATTTTCATCTGGAAATATCACCAACCTAGGACTTTCATAGCTAGAGAGAAGAAATCAATTCCTGGCTTCAAAAGGCAGGCTCAGGTGATTTAAAATTGAAGCTGATGCTCATGAACCATTCTAAAAATATTAGAGCCCTTAAGAACTATGCTAAGTATAGTCTGCCTGTGCTCTGTAAATGAAATAACAAAGCCTAGATGACAGCATATCCGTTTATAGCACGGTTTACTGAATATTTTAAGCCTACAGTTGAGACCAACTGTGTAGAGAAAAAGATTCCTTCCAAAATATTACAATTCATTTACAATAAAGCTGGTCACCTAAGAGCTCTGATGGAGATTTAAAAGGAGATAATTCTTTTATGTCTGCTATTACAACATCCATTCTGCAGCCCATGGATTAAGAAGTAGTTTTGTCCTTCAAGTCTTATCATTTAAAAATGGATTTTGAAAGGCTATCAAAATAGCAACATTAAGAAGAGTTTGTAAGAAGCTGATTCCAATCTTTGTAGCTGACTTTGAGGAGTTCAAGACTCCAGTGGAAGAGGTAACTACAGATATGGTGGAAATAGCTGGAGAATTAGAATTAGAAGTGGAACCTGAAGATGTGACCACGATTGCCGCAATCTCATGGTAAAACTTTATTGGATGAAGAGTTCCTTATGGATGAATAAAGAAAATAATTTCATGTGATAGAATGCACTCCCAATGGGCATACTGTGAACACTGTTGAAATGATCACGAAGGATTTAAAATATTACACATTCTTAGTTAATAAAGCAGCTGGAGGGGTTGAGAGGATTGATTCCCATTTTGAAAGAAGTTCTACTGTAATTAAAATGCTATCATAGAGCATCACTTACTACAGAAAAATCTTTTATAAAAAAAGAGTCCATCAATGTGGCAAACTTCATTGTCTCATTTTAAGAAATTCCTGGCTGGGTGTAGTGGCTCATGCCTGTAATTACAGCTCTTTGAGAGGTCGAAGCAGGTGGATCACCTGAGGCTCAGTATGACCCACATAGAGAAACCCTGACTCTACTAAAAATACAAAATTAGCAGGGTGTGGTGGCACATGCTTGTAATCCCAGCTAGTCAGGAGGCTGAAACAGGGGAATTGCTTGAACCCGAGAAGTGGAGGTTGTGGTGAGCCGATATCGAGCCATTGCACTCCAGCCTGGACAACAAGAGCAAAACTCCATCTCCAAAGAAAAAGCAATTGCTTCAGAGACCCTACCCTCCAGCAGCCACCACGCAGCCATTAGCATAAGGGCAAGACCTTCCACCAGCCAAAAGATTAGGACTCACTGATGATCATTAACATTTTCACAAGGAAGTATTTTTAAATGAAGTTATGTATCTTGATTTTTAGATACAATAGATTACCATACAGTATAAATATAACTTTTATATGCACTGGAAAACCGAAAATATTATGTGACTCTCTGTACTGTGATATTCACTTTATGGCAGTGGTCTGAAGCCAAACCCACAATATCTCTGAGGAATACCTGTACCCATATTTTAAAGTGTTCTTTAGCATGTAATGATTTATTTTATGTTTATGATGTTTACATTTGTGTCTTTCCTGGGGAATTTAGTCCCTAGAGAATTTTAATTTTTTTCTAATTATTGTCACATGCGGATTAATTTTTATTTTTTATTAATACATAATAAATTTACATATTTCCAGAGTGCATTTGATACTTTGATACATTCATATAACATGCAAAGATAAAATTAGGAATTAATTTTTAATAACTTCACTTTGTACTTTAAATTTGACCTGCTTTTATTATGTTTTTCCTTGTATATTTTTCTATGTATTATTTATAAAATTTGGTTTTTTAAACACTCATTCCATTGACTTACGTCTTCTATTTATATATTTTTTCCAAGTTTTACATGTTAGCAGTCTCATCATTTATAGTTAACAAAATATAATGATAAGTGGTACATTCTAGACCAACTACTTTATAATGCCTTAAATTATGTCACTTTTGATTTGTATGCTATTTTTGTCTAGAATTTATGTTCTATACAAAGTTTTAATTATATACACCCAATGTTAAGTTATATGTGTTAAACCATATATTTAACATTTTAACTGTGCAATGTTTATTTTGTATTTTAGATCAAGCTTTGGGGCTTATTTTCCTCCATTTGGAAATATAACCATAATAGATTATTTAGTAGTAATTTATACTAAACCATTTTTCCCCTGCCAACAATGTTTATTTTGCCTTTTTTCTTAAAATACAGTTTTTATGATTACATGATTTGATGTTGATAGCTATTTTCTTTCAGTTTATTAAAGATATCTCACTGTCATTTGATTTACATTGTTACTTTTGAGATGTTTTCTGTTAGTCTAACAACCATTCATTTCAGATAATTTATTTTTGTTTCTGATGCTTTGTCTATGGTGCTTTGTAACTTCGTTATAATGTCTCTCAGTAGGGATTTTTACAAGTCATTCTCTCTCCTTTTTTTTTTTGTATTGTGATGCCTGACTTCCTTCCTTCCTTCCTTCCTTCCTTCCTTGTTCTTTTTTTCTCTTTCTTCCTGTTTGTTGCTATTCTGTTCCAAAATTCTTAAGTGATAACTCTTTAAATATTTCATTTCCTATTTTTTTCCCTAGACCTCTGATTAGGTATATATCAATATTGTCACTCTGTCTTGCATGTCTATACAAATTTCTTTTTTATATTTTATACTTTTTATATTTCATGCTTTCTGTGAAGCTTCTTCAAAATAATTTTTTTCACTTCATGACTTCTCTCTTCAGCCCTAAGTTATGAATTAGACATGGTACATTTGAATTTTATATTTTAATTGTGACATTATTTTTTTCCTGCTAGCTATGTTTGTTTTGAATCTGATTATTTTAATATCATGTAATTCCTTGATTAGTTTTACAGTTCTTCTTATATATTTTAAAATATACTTTGTATTTATATTTTATAATTCTGATACTGGCAGATTCCATTTTTATGTTGTTCCGGCTGGCTTTCACTTACATTGGAATTTTTTCCTAATTTGCTTTATGATTTTTTTTTTTTTTGTCAATATATGATTACTGAGACTGTTTTCTATCAAAGCTTTTAGGCCTAGATTTCAGAGAGTTTTTGTGTTTTCTCTCTCATTCACCTGGGAACATCACAAGCTTGGTACAATCTGAAGCCAAACATTCTACTTGGGTTTTTGAGGTTGCAGAAATAGTATGTATTCTACCTCAAAATAGATACAGCTGCCCTTGACAGTGAATTCTAATGGAGACTACTTATATGTCTTCCAAGTCGTGCTCTTTCTCATAATCTATTTTTTTTCTTAGATTCCACTCTCTTTTTCTAGTGAATCATCTCCCCAAGGATACTTTTTCTGACCAATTATTTCTAGTCTCAGATTAGATAAGATGTCCTTAGGCTGGTGTATTCTCCTTTTCAAAGGTAGTGTTGACATTTATATTTCTATCACCTGAACCCTTCCTGAGAGCAGTCACTATATCTTTCCCATCTTGTACTTATCCTCAGGGCTGATCATGGTCCTTGGCACATACTAGCCATGAAATAAATCTTTGTTAATAAATGAGTAAATTAACATCAAGTTAAAAGGACGTGAATTAAAGTGGCTCTCTGTTCTTTGCTGATGGCTTGATTTTAGCATCACATTTCAGGCCTAATTTCACAGAATAATCAAACATATTTACCAATTCTCCTGATTAGGAATAGTTAAAAACAAATTAATGCTCAAACCAAAATAGTTGATACTGGCAGAAACTTTTCAGTGTTTTCCAAATGGGTAACATTAAACAACATATTCAACAAACATGTTCATTTGATTATGTGGGAGTGATGGGATGTGCAGTTTAATCTACTCAGTAGATTTCTCTCCATGCAGTTCTCTCCAAAAATCAAAGTTAATTTCAGTAGAAAAGAGCAATTAATGACTCTCTACGCCTCTCTGTCCTTGACTCTCATTCGATATCTCTAACATGCAGTTTTGGAGTTTCAAGGAACTGGACTTTTTGTATAATTGAGCAGATCTACATTTTTTTCTTTGGGGAAGTAAGGACTCTTCCTATTGGAGATTGTGCTGCACAAACCTGTAAAACTTGGTTAGACTAGAAGCCATTCTTCTTGATTGATAGCCGTTTGTCATCTACACCCCTGATATTCCAAGCTTTGGCTTTTATTTTGATCAAGAACACAAAATGCTTACACTCCAGTCACCTTTCTGCTTCTTATACTCTGCTAAAAATCCAACCAAGAAGATGAAGATTCGAGAGAAAAGTATGTGACATGTTAATTCTTCATTCTTTTAAGTTCCAAAACCTCTATCACTGTATCAATTAGAGTATTAGAAAGTCACTTACTTGGAGTTATTCCCTTAGGCTTTATTCCTTTGTAAACTTTACAAAACAATTCAACAATTCTTGCCTTGTATTAAAGATCAATATAAAAAATAAAGACGAATAATTTTTTGTTGTTGTTACTGAAAGACAGTTGATTCTAAGTTCACACCACAAGTTGCTTCTTACGTATTCAAGACATATTTATTGGGCATTTACGTGCCAAGAAAGGAAAAGTTTATCTTGTCAAGTACTATTAGGTTACCATTCAACAGTTGCCTCTAACGATACAGGGTATTCCCTGTTTGTTTTTGCTACCAGGAAACTTAGAATTATTTTTGGGGCTCAGTGGAAATGGTATTTTTATTTGCGTTTCTGGTGAAATTCTCTCTATTCCACTCTTTTCATATCCCACCCCAACCTCCAGTCTCTTCCTTGGCTCTATTTTATCCTAATTCATATACTCTCATTTAGTTTTACACATTTATATTTAGTGACCTAAATATAGGCAAAGTTTTAAATGATAAACAGTGGTGCTGCAGCATAGTACATTTATTCATTATCAACAGAAGATCAAGACCATAGTAGAAGTCTTAAAGATCATGGTAAAATACACCAAGTATTTCTGGTTTAAATGAAATTAATTTTGTGCGTAAACTAGCATGCATGGAATACGCAACCTTGAAATCCTGAACAATGAGGTTATTTTTAAAGGGCTTAGCTGCCTTTTATTGGTTCTGATGTATCATGAGATCAGATGAAGAAGCTTTGCTAAAATGCCACCTGGGGTTGGATATAGCATCACAAAGGCCATTTGCTTGTGCTACCATCTATGGTCCAATAAAAGAAAATCAAAGATTAGAAACATTTTTGGTTTTGCCAGTTGGATATGATGATAGAATGGGTTACCTAAGTTTCTGTAGCATATTAAATTAAAATAAGGCCATGCCAATATTCATGTAAAAGCTGTTAATAAAGGCTATTTATATCTACTGTGCTAGTAAAGAATGTATGATACAATTTACTAAAATAAAATAATCATGATTTAGAAAGAATAGCAATAGGCATACTGAATTGCAGCACATCAGCAAAGAAGGTGGCTATTTTAGGAGAAAGAAGAAATATCCTATCTTATAATAATGTGAACTATGTAGTGTATGTGGATCAGTCACGCAATCATTTCCTTTGGTTATCATAATGTCATGGGGTGGCTAGGGCAAGAATATTATGAAAGGCTCAGAAAAGTCAATTTCAATTCTAAAGTCTCTGATGTAGCAATTAAAAGAAATAAACTAGATCTACTCGCATCATCATATATACAATAGTAAAATAATAATAAAAGCAAATTGCTATGAATGCAAGCATACTTCAGGAATAGTGACTCTATTTGGAGAGAGTAGGCAGAGAATGAGATAGAGAGTTGTTATATCTGTAACATCTCATTTTTTAAAAAAGTGAAAAAAATGTAATAAATATGATAAATGATGACATTTCTTTAGTCTGAATTATGGTTTTCTATGTGTCTGTTTTCTTGATGTTTGAAATATTTAATTTCACATTCTTATATTTTTTATTAAGAATCCCCAGCACTTATAAATGTGTAATTTATCCATCGTCACGTTGCTGTAAATGATTGCAGTAGTTTGAATAGCGGCCCCCTGCCCTGCGAGAAAAAAAAAAAAAATTCTCTTTGTCTGTGACCTCTGCTCATCCACAGCTGGATCTCACCGGAGTTTCTGCTGGCTCCTCCAGGACCTACCACGTGGTGCTGGGCCGGCAAAGCCTCTCCACTGAGGAGACCGGCTCACTGGCCGTCAAGGTCTCTAAGATCGTGGTGCACAAGGACTGGAACTCCAGCCAGCTCTCCAAAGGGAACGACATTGCCAGGCTCAAACTGACTAACCCTGTCTCCCTCACCAACAAGATCCAGCTAGCCTGCCTCCCTCCTGCGCACCATCCTACCCGACAAGTACCCCTGCTATGTCACGGGCTGGGGAAGGCTGAAGACCAACGGGGCTGCTCCTGACATCCTGCAGCAGGGCCGGTTGCTGGTTGTGGACTATGCCACCTGCTCCAGTTCTGGCTGGTGGGGCAGCACCGTGAAGACCAATATGGTCTGCGCTGGGGGAGATGGCGTGATCTCCAGCTGCATCGGAGACTCCGGCGGGCAGCTGAACTGCCATGTGGCTGACGCCCATTGGGAGGTACATGGCATCATCAGCTTCGGGTCCTCCCTTGGCTGCAACTACTACCACAAGCCCTCCGTCTTCACACGGGTCTCCAACTACATTGACTGGATCAATTCTGAGGTTACCAAGAACCTCGGAATATGGCCATATTTGGAATAGGTGCTTTGCAAATATGATGAAGGTAAAGCTCCTAAGATGAGCTCATGCTGGATGAGGGTGGTCCCTAAAATCAGTGGTGAATATCCTTCTAAGAGATAGATAGAAAAGGAGAAGACACAGAGGAGAAAGCCATGTAGCGATGGAGGCAGGGGTTGGAGTGACGTGCCTAGAAGTCAAGCAAGGCCTGGGGCCATGAGAAGGAGGAAGAGACAGGGCAGCATTCTTCCCCAGCCTGCAGAAGGAGCGTGGTCCTGCTGGCACCTGGAGTTCGGACCCAGACTCCAGAACTGTGAGGGAATACACTTCTGTTGTTTAAGCCTCCAAATTAGTGCTAGTTTTGTATGAAAATCTTAGGGAATAAAACCCTTGGAAATCAAAGACCCCAGCTTTATTTCAAGACTCTCGTTTTAAATTCTAGGCAGATCCCAGGAAGCCAGAGGAGCAAAGATTCAGGCCTGGCCAGTCTGTCACATGGTGGGTCAGGTACAGCTACAGGAAACAACGCCTTTCACAAAAGCAATACGGAGAAACAGTCTCCTGGAAGACGGTGAGAAAAAGAATGTTCTTTTTCATTTAAAGATTTTTCAAAACAAAATCCTTTTTTTCCTGCATCATTTATTGGACTGGTACTGAAATTAAACTGAAGTTGTCAGGGCAATCGTACACTAGAGTGAATTCTGTCACGGTTGGAGGCAGATGAATATGGGACCCAGGAGGTTTGTTACGGACCCATTATCAGACTGAACACTAAACTTAGCACGAGGCCAGTGCTTCAGCTCCAGCTAGTTTGAGAAACACGAGAAACAGCTGGAGATAAAGGAGGAAAGTCTGTAGGTCGCTTGGCTTCGTTGAGCCGTCACCTGGTGGAGACACTACTGGAGTTGGCAGCCTGAGATTCCGCAATTCCCAGCTCCCGCACCTCGCCACAGGCAGAGCACTGCAGGGAGGGAACCGTGTGTGTCCCCAGCTGCTGCTGGCTGGGGTTGAGCATGAGCTGGCACTGGGAGAGGCCTGTCTTATGCTGCTCCACTTTCTTGGCAGGAAGACCAGAGAAAAACATCAGCTTTGGAACAAGGCGTGCACTGGCATAGTGCAGCTCACTGTGGTGTGAACAAATCATTTTCCATCTGTTTGTGAGGCTTGCATGTGTGTTACAGGTTGGTGGGTGTAACCAATCCACCCTTGCTCTTTGGTATCGGTTCCATGAGTAATTGATGTTTCTGGGGATGCCTCATGCTGTTCATCAAACCACTGGTGTTTTATCCAAATGAGTCAATGTTTTTACATTCTTTCTTTCTTTCTTTCTTTCTTTCTTTCTTCTTTCTTCTTTCTTTTCTTTCTTTCCTTTCTTTTTTTTTTCTTTTCCTTTCTCTTTTTCTTTCTTCGTTCATCTTTCTTTCTTTTTTCTTTCTTTTGTTTTCTGTCTCTCCCTTTCTCCTTCTCTCTCTCCCTCTTTTCTCTCTCGCCCTTTCTTTTCCTCTCCCTCATTTTCTCCTCCTCTTCCTCTGTTCTCTTCTCTTCTTCTTTTCTCTTTCCTTGCTTTCCTCCCTCCCTCCTTCCTTACCTCTCTTCTTTTCTTCCTTCTTTCCTTGCTTTCTAATTCTTCCTGGTTTCTCCACGTTCTGTTCCTCCTCCTTTTTCCACGCCTCCGTTAGTGACGCATCTGAAGTGGGGTTGGGGAGAGGGATTGGGAGAACATAGAATTCAGAGGTTCTTAAATTATCGTAGATGATTTTTTAATATAGTTCATTTCCTTTTTTATTTGTATTATACTTTAAGTTCTGGGATGCATATGCAGAGCCTGCAGGTTTGATACATAGGTGTATATGTGCCATGGTGCTTTGCTGCACCCGTCAACCCATCATCTACATTACGTATTTCTCCTAATGCTATCCTTTTCCTAGACCCCCGCCCCCGGACGGGCCCCAGTGTGTCATGTTCCCTTCCCTGTGTCCACATGTTCTCATTCTTCAATTCCCACTTACAAGTGAGAACATGGGCTGTATGGTTTTCTGTTAGTTTGCTGAGAATGATGGTCTCCAGCTTCATCCATGCCCCTGCAAAGGACATGAACTCATCTTTTTTTATGGCTGCATAGTATTCCATGGTGTATATGTGCCACATTTTCTTTATCCAGTCTATCACTGATGGGCATTTGGGTTGGGTCCAAGTCTTTGCTACCATGAATAGTGCTACAATAAACATAGGTGTGCACGTTCCTTTATAGCAGAACGATTGATAATCCTTTGGGAATATGCCCAGTATTGGGATTGCTGGATCAAATGGTCTTTCTTGAGATCCTTGACCTATGAATCACCACACTGTCTTCCACAATGGTTAAACGAATATACATTCCCACCAACAGTGTAAAAGCCTTTGTCTTTCTCCAGATCCTCTCCCACATTTGTTGTTTCATTCTAATTGGCACGAGATGGTATTTCATTATGGTTTTTACTTGCGTTTCTCTAATGACCAGTGATGATTAGCTTTTTTTCATGTGTTTTTGGTCACATATCGGTCTTCTTTTGAGAAGTATCTGTTCATATCCTTTGCCCACTTTTTGATGTGTTGTGTGTGTGTTTTTTTTTTTTTTTTTTGTAAATTTGTTTAAGTTCTTTGTAGATTCTGAATAGTAGCCCTTTGTCAGATGGATAGATTGCAAAAATTTTCTCCCATTCTGTAAGTTGCCGTTCAATCTGATGATAGCTTCCTTTGCTGTGCAGAAGCTCTTTAGTTTAATTACATCCCATTTGTCTATTTTGGCTTTTGTTGCCATTGGTTTTGGTGTCTTAGTCATGAAGTCCTTGCCCATGCCTGTGTCCTGAATGGTATTGCCTAGGTTTTCTTCTAGGGTTTTTATGGTTTTAGGTCTTAGGTTTAAGTCTTTAGTCCATCTTGACTTAATTTTTGTATAAGATATAAGGAAGGCGTCCAGTTTCAGTTCTCTGCATATGGCTAGCCAGTTTTTCCAACACCGTTTATTACATAGGAAATCTTTTCCCTATTGCTTTTGTTGGCCAGATTTGCAAAACATCAGATGGCTGTAGATCTGTGGCATTATTTCTGAGGCCTTTGTTCTGTTCCATTGGTCTATATCTCTGTTTTGGCACCAGTATCATGCAGTTTTGGTTACTATAGCTTTATAGTATAGTTTGAGATCAGATACTGTGATGCCTCTAGCTTTGTTCTTTTTGCTTATACTTTTGTCTACATAGGCTCTTTTTTGGTTCCATATGAAATTTAAAGTAGTATCTTTTAATTCTGTGAAGAAGGTCAATGGTAGCTTGATGGAGATAGTATTGAACCTGTAAATTACTTTGGGCAGTATGGCCATTTTCACGATACTGATTCTTTCTAACCATGGGCATGGAATGTTTTTCCACCTGTTTGTGTCCTCTCTTATTTCCCTGAGCAATGGTTTGTAGCTCTCCTTGAAGAGGTCCTTCACATCCTTTGTTAGTTGTATTCCTAGGTATTTCATTCTCTTTGTAGCAATTGTGAATGGGAGTTCACTCATGATTTGGCTCTCTGTTTGTCTATTATTGGTGTATAGGAATGCTTGTGATTTTCATACATTGATTTTGTATCCTGAGACTTTGCTGATGTTGCTTATGAGCTTAAGGAGATTTTGAGCTGAGATGATGGGGTTTTCTAAATATACAATTATGTCATCTGCAAATAGAGATAATTTGACTTCCTCTCTTCCTATTTGAATATGTTTTATTTCTTTCTCTTGCCTGATTGCCGTGGCCAGAACTTCCAATACTGTGTTTAATAGGAGTGGTGAGAGGGGGCATCCGTGTCTTGTGCCGGTTTTCAAAGGGAATGTTTCTAGTTTTGTCCCTTCAATATGATATTGGCTGTAAGTTTGTCATAAATAGCCCTTATTATTTTAAGATACGTTCCATAAATACCTAGTTCATTGAGAGTTTTTAGTACGAAGAGTTGTTGAGTTTTATTGAAGGCCTTTTCTGCATCTGTTGAGATAATCATGTGGTTTTTGTCATTGGTTCTGTTTAGGTGATGGATTACACTTACTGATTTGCATATGTTGAACCAGGCTTGCATCCCAGAGGTGAAGCTGACTTGGTCATGGTGGATAGGCTTTTTGATGTGCTGCTGGATTTCATTTGCCAGTATTTTATTGAGAATATTCACATCAATGTTCATCAGGGATATTGGCCTGAAATTTTCTTTTTTTGTTGAGTCTCTGCTAGGTTTTGGTATCAGGATGATGCTGGCCTCATCAAATGAGTTAGGGAGGAGTCCCTGTTTTAAATTGTTTGGAATAGTTTCAGAAGGAATGGTACCAGCCCCTCTTTGTACCGCTGGGAGAATTTGTCTGGTCCTAGGCTTTTTTTGGATGGTAGGCTATTAATTACTGCCTCAAATTCAGAACTTGTTATTGGTCTGTTCAGGAATTTGACTTCTTCCTGGTTTAGTCTTGGAGGGTGTATGTGTCCAGAGTTTATCCATTTCTTCTAGATCTTTTAGTTTATTTGCATAGAGGTGTTTATAGTATTATCTGATGATAGTCTGTGTTTCTGTGAGATCAATGGTGATATCCCCTTTATCATTTTTTGTTGTCTATTTGATTCTTCTCTCTTTTCTGCTTTATTAGTCTGGCCAGTGGTCTAACTTTCAAAAAGTCGATCTTTTCAAAAAATCAGCTCCTGGATTCTTTGATTTTTTTGAAGGGATTTTCATGTCTCTATCTCCTTCAGTTCTTCTCTGATGTTAGTTTTTCTTGTTTTCCGCTAGCTTTTGAGTTTGTTTGCTCTTGCTTCTCTAGTTCTTTTCATTGCAATGTTAGGGTGTCAATTTTAGATCTTTCCTGCTTTCTCCTGTAGGCATTTGGTGCTATCAATTTCCCTCTCAACATTGTTTTTACTGTGTCCCAGAGATTCTGGTACGTTGTGTCTTTGGTTTCAAAGAAGTTATTTATTTCTGTCTTAATTTTGTTATTTCCTTAGTAGTTATTCAGGAGCAGATTGTTCGGTTTCCATGTAGTTGTGCAGTTTTGGGAGAGTTTTTAAATCGTGAGTTCTAATTTGATTGCACTGCTGTCTGAGAGACTTATTACTATGATTTCCCTTCTTTCGCATTTGCTGAGGAGTGTTTTACTTCCAATTATGTGGTCAATTTTAGAATAAGTGTGATGTGGAGCTGAGAAGGATATTGATTCTGTTGATTATATTCTAAAGAATATATCTCTGTTGATTTGGGAGAGTTCTGTAGTTGTCTATTAGGTCTGCTTGGTCCAGAGGTGAGCTCAAGTCTTGAATATCCTTGTTAATTTTCTGTCTCACAGATCTGACTAATATTGACAATGGGGTGTAAAGGTCTCCCACTGTTATTGTGTGAAGTCTAAGTCTCTTTGTAGGTCATTAAGAACTTGCTTTATGAATCTGGGTGCTCCTGTATTGGGTGCATATATATTTAGGATAGTTAGCTCTTCTTGTTGCATTGATCCCTTTACCATTATGTAATGCCCTTCTTTGTCCTTTTTGATCTTTGTTGGTTTAAAGTCTGTTTTATAAGAGACTAGAATTGCAACACCTGCTTTTTTTTTTTCTTTCCATTGCTTGGTTAATATTATTCAATCTCTTTAGTTTGAGCCTATGTGTGTCTTTGCACATGAGATGATCACCTGAATACAGCACACCGATGAGTCTTGACTCATTATCCAATTTCCCAGTATGTCTTTTAATTGGGGCATTTATCCCATTTACATTTAAAGTTAATGTTGTTATGAGTGAATCTGATCTTGTAATTATGATGCTAGCTGGTTATTTTGCCTGTTAGTTGATGCAGTTTCTTCATAGTGTTCACAGTCTTTACAGTTTGGTATGTTTTTGCAGTGGCTGCTACCAGTTTTTCTTTTCCATATTTAGTGCTTCCTTCAGGAACTCTTGTAAGGCAGGCCTGGTGGTGACAAAATCTCTCAGCATTTGCTTGACTATAGATGATTTTATTTCTCCTTCATTTATGAAGCTTAGTTTGGCTGGTTATGAAATTCTGGGTTGAAAATTCTTTTCTTTAAGAATGTTGAATATTGGCCCCCACTCTCTTCTGGCTTGTAGGGTCTCTGCAGAGAGATCTACTGTTAGTCTGATGGGCTTCCTTTTGTGGGTAACCCGACCTTTCTCACTGGCTGCCCTTAACATTTTTTTCTTCATTTCAACCTTGCTGAATCTGACAATTATGTGTCTTGGAGTTGCTCTTCATGAGGAGTATCTTAGTAGTGTTCTCTGTATTTCCTGAATTTCAATGTTATCCTGTCTTGCTAGGTTGGGGAAGTTCTCCTGGATAATATCCTGAAAAGGGTTTTCCAACGTAGGAAATACTATCACTTTCAGGTATACCAATCAACCACAGGTGTGGTCTTTTCACATAGTCCCATATTTCTTGAAGGCTTTGTTCTTTCCTGAAATTCTTATTTCTGTAATTTTGTCTTCACATTTTATTTCATGAAGTTAATCTTCAATCTCTGATATCCTTTATTCTGCTTGATTGATTCAGCTATTGATACTTGTGTATGATTCATGAAATCATCGTGCTGTTTTTTTTAGCTCCATCAGGGCATTTCTGTTCTTTTCTAAACTGGTTATTATAGTTAGCAATTCCTCTAACCTTTATTCAAGGTTCTTAGCTTCCTTGCATTGGGTTAGAACATGCTCCTTTAGCTCAGAGGAATTTATTATTATTCACCTTCTGAAGCCTACTTTTGTCAATTCATTAAACTCTTTCTCCATCTCATTTTGTTCCCTTGCTGGGGAGGAGTTGTGATCTTTTGGAGGAGAAGAGGTGTTCCAGTTTTTGGAATTGTCAGCCTTTTTGCACTGCTTTTTTTTTTTTCTTCTCATTTTCGTGTATTTATCTACCTATGGTCATTGATGTTGTTGACCTTCGGACGGGTTTTTCTGTGAATGTCCTTTTTGTTGATGTTGACGCTATTCCTTCTTGTTTGCTAGTTTTCCTTGTAAATGTCAGGTTCCTGTGCTGCAGGTATGCTGGAGTTTGCTTGAGGTCCAGACCCTGTTTGCTTGGTATCACCAGCAGAGGCTGCAGAACAGCAAAGATTACTGCCTTTTCCTTCTTCTGGAAGCTTCATCACTGAGGTGCAATGGCCAGATGCCAGCTAGAGCTCTCCTGTATGAGGCGTCTGTCATCCCCTGCTGGGAGGTGTCTCCCATTCAGAAGTCACCATGGTCGTGAATCCACTTGAGGAGGCAGTCTGTCCCTTAGCAGAGCTCAAGCACTGTGTTGAGACTGCTCTCTTCAGAGCTGGCCGGCAGGAATGTTTTAGTCTGCTTAAGCTGTGCCCACAACCACCCCTTTCCCCAGGTGCTTTGTCCAAGGGAGATGCGAGTTTTATCTCTAAGCCCTTGACTGAGGCTGCTGCCTTTCTTTTAGAGATGCCCTGCCCAGAGAGGAGGAATCTAGAGAGGCAGTCTGGCTATAGTAGTTTTGCAGACTACAGTGGGCTCTGCCCCATTCGAAGTTCCCAGCAGCTTTGTTTACACTGTGAGCAGAAAACCACCTACTCAAGCCTCAACAATGGCGAATGCCCCTCCCCCCACCAAGCTAGAGTGTCCCAAGTTGACTCCAGACTGCTGTGCTGGTAGCAAGAATTTCAAGCCTGTGGATTTTAGCTTGCTCGGCTCCATGGGGATGGGATCCACTGAGCTAGACCACTTGGCTTTCCAGCTTCAGTCCCCTTTCCAGGGAGTGAATGGTTCTGTCTCATGGGTGTTCCCAGCACCACTGGGGTGTGAAAAAACTCCTGCAGCTGGCTCAGTGAGAGCCCAAACAGCCACCCACCTTTGTGCTTGAAACCCAGGGCCCTGGTGGTATAGGCACCCAATGGAAGCTTCTGGTCTGCAGTTGTGAAGACTGTGGGAAAAGCATAGTAGGTACCTCTCATGAGTGGGTACCTCTCATCTCACTGATTTCTCATTTCTGGAAATGCATAAATCACCTATCTTCTGCATTGCTTTCCCTAAGAGCTGCAGACTAGAGCTGTTCCTATTTAGCCATCTGGTTAATATTCTTTTAAAAAATATTAAAAGAGATTCTCCTTCTCCTGCAGGCAATGGAAACTGCGACATGTGGAACAAGGCAGTTCAGTTCAAATATGAGGATGCATCCTGGGGATCTATAGAGCAGGCAGCACTGTGTAAGGTGCTCTAGGGATGAATATCCATGTCCTCTTCTGAGCATGCAGAGTTACTCCTCCTGACACGTGCTCTGCAATAAAGAGAAGATGGAGTTCTGGTGTTCAAAATACTTACAGTACTATTGGGAAGAGAAGGAGATTTGTCAGAGGAAAAATGATCAAACAATGCTTGTAAAAAGAATTTAGGGAAGAGAAGCAAATAGTTTGAGTAAATGTCAGTTTGTGTTGCAAAGAGCTCCTGAAACTGAATCCTGCATATGAGTACAATATGGTTAGTTATAAAGGAGGAGGATGAACACAGCAGCCCTGGGGAATAAAACATGGAAGAAGAAGAATTGTCTTAGCCACACACAAAATATACTAACAGTAATGAGAGCTGATAAGCTAAAAAAAAGTTACAAAGAAACACACAATGTTTTAAGAAAGTTTATGAATTTATGTTGGGCTGCATTCAAAGCCATCCTAGGGTTCAGGCTGGACAACTTTGTCCTAAAGGTTGTCCATATTTAACGGACATTATTTGCCTGTGGTACAATTAAAATCAATAAAATGGTAAAAACTATGTTGTAGGTTTCCTCCAGAACTCCTGATAAATTTGAATGGTTCTCAGGGCCATTCTAAGATTATATTATTCCCCTAAAGTTTATTTCTATTGTACTCACACTTTCCCCAATAAACTCTCCAATAATGCTTCATCTTCCAGGTTCAACTGTTGCAGGAGCGGCCGTGGGAAACAGATCTCTCGGACACCGAATATTGGAGGAAGGAGTTTATTTGGCCGGGAGCCAGGTGGGATATTTGCCTAATATCCAAGCTTCCCTAACAAAAGAAGTTTCCTTCTTTATATAGGCTTATACTTTAGATGGTACACGTGGAAGAATCTTAGGTTCATAGCTTAACATATGAAAAGGGTCTCAGTTTACAGTCTTAGGAATGAGAAGGGGAAGTTTACAGTCTTAGGAAAAGGGAAGTTGATCTGAGTTGTCTGAGTCTCCCTCTTCATTCCCCTCTTTGAGACCCTTTATAATGTTAGTGAGAGGTCTCACTTTCATTCTCACTTTCCAGATTTTCTGAAGAAACAGACTGATAATGTTTCATATAATACACTCGTGATGTCACTTTTTGGCTAACTACAGTAGGGATGAATCCCCTAATCATCTGAAGGAACAAGGGCAGTAGACAAGGGAGCAGTAAACAAACACCTATTATCATTATAACACTTACGATGAGGGTTTTGAATCCTCCCGAGGATGAGAACCAACCTCCAAACAAGGACTCAGGGTCAAATCCGTGCCACACCTGTACAGGCACGTGTGCCAGTTTGGTCATGCCTCACACAATCTCCTCCACTGCTTGCCCCTGGTCATCTAGGTGCAGACGGCAGTTGGTTAGACTGAATTTTCCCTAGACTCCCCCTTCGGCTGCTAGCAAATAATCTAGGGCCAGTCAGTTCTCATAAATCGCATTTCTCATTTGAGTTTCTTGTCGGGCCAAGAGGGACAGAGCTTTGCCCATTTCATTAGTATTTCCAAAACAGCCTGCAACCGGATGATCTGGTTGAGCATGTAAATAGGGGTCCGGTATCCCCATAAGCCATCCTCAGCCCATGTGGCCAGCCCATAGTACTCAATAATTCTCTCCAGTGGCCGCTCGTCAGCTGTCCAATTCCCTAGTTTTAGGTCTCTCTTCTCCCTAGCAGAATAAACTGAATGCCCTAACAGCTCACCTATCTTAATAGATAAGGGGAAGAAAGAAGGCTTAATGATGCCTATGACACAGCTACCTGTCCATCTCATGGATTACACACCTTATATTGAGTACCGTTATATACACAGGTTCCCTGCTGTGTCCCCGTACATTTATAAGAACTGCAGGACAAAAGAGTAACTTTTCCGTCCTACCTGGTGTACACACTGAGGGCATTCTTTAAAATTAGTTAGTGTTCCTACTGTGCAAGTCCAAATAGTAAGAACAAGTCCCACGATGAATCTCCTCATGCTTCGGCTGTGCGTGGACCAGCCAGCTTCCGGGATGTGGCTGGAGCAAGGCTTGCTGTCCTTCTTAGGGTGATTCTGCAGTCCTGGCCTTGGTCTAAGTCTCAGCTGTTGCTGGTTTTGACACGGCTGTGGTGGATTCAGGCTGGGATTCCCTCCACCTTCACAGCTGTGGGATTGGTCAGGATCAGGTCTGAAGCCCTTTCCATTGTGGCTTTAGAGGGGCTGGACTCCCGTCCTTTATCCACACGTGATTACCTAGTGAGAAAGGGTGAGCTGGGGAGAAAAAGGCTTACAGGACATTTGTTAATTACTTAGGTTGAAGTATCCTAAGCAACTCTCCTTAGAGCTGGTAACTAGCATCCGAACTCAATCTCTCCCCACTCCCGAGGAGTTCCTACGGGTGCCCAAAGTAGGGGTGGAGGCCTATGGTATAAGACTTAAAAGGGGAATATCCTGTTTTTTTCTAAAGGGGGTGCCTTTAGAAAATTTTGAATAACCCCAAGGGAAGTGCCTGCACCCACTCTAATCTTGTTTCCTAAGCACTTTCCCTAAGCTGTTTTTGATGGTCCAGTTCATTTTTCCCACTTTTCTGGAACTCTGAGGTCAGTAGGCAGTGTGCAGTTTCCAGGTGATACCCAAGGCCGTTGCTGTTTTCCAGACTAAATCTGCCACAAATGCTGGTCTGCTCTCTCCTCCGATATGCAGTGGCAGTCCAAACCTAGGGGTAAAATCTCGAAGCAGCGCACAGGTTACCATGGGCTCTTCCAGTTCCATTCAGAGTATGCGCACACCAGGACCAACAAATACTTATGTCTCCACACTTGGACATTTCAATAAAGTCTACCTGGAGATCTTCAAACGGAGCTGCTCTGTAAGCTTGGATTCCAGGGGGAGTAGTTGGACCCTGCCTTGCGTTGTGTTGCCGACATGTAACTCATCGCTGTGCCACAGTTTTGCTCAAGACTGCTAAGGGTGAGATGTAAAATTACCGGCCCAGCATCTTTTCAAGCGACTCTTGACCTAAATGAGTGGCCTCATGTATGCCTTGAACAACTGCAGCCCCCAGCAGCTGTGGAGCTGTTATTCTTCCATCTGGCCTTTGGATCCAGCCTTCTTTAATCAGTTGCCCCCTTCTGTCTGGAGAAAGTCTCTTTCCTCCTCAGAGTAGGTAGGTATTAGATCAGGGATCTGGGGAATCAGCGGGGCTGTAACTGCTATTCGGTAGGGGGCAGATGCTGCCCTACCTACGAGCTGCTGAATCCGCTCGGGAATTTCCCAGGGCCACGGACGTGTGGGCCCTCTGATGTCCTTGGCAAGGCATGACCACCACTCTCCAGACCATTTCTAGGAGCTGCAAAATGTCATGCTGATACTTTATTTCTTTTCTCCCTGAAGCTAACAGGCCTCTCTCTTTGAACAGTGCTCCAGGTACTTGGAAAGTTGGGAAGGCATAAACATTTACCAACTTATCTTTACTCAGCTCCAGGTCTTGAGTTAAACAATGAGTTCAGCCTTTTGAGCTGAGGTGCCCTGAGGCAGGGATTTGGCCTTGCTTACAGCGTCTAGAGTTACCTCAGCGTAGCCTGCACATCTGTCCCCTCGTGGATTGACAAAGCTGCTCCCATCCACACACAACTCCCAGTCTGCTACTGTCCATGGCTGATCCCAAGGATCAGGCCTGCTGGAACAGACTGTGTCCAGGACTTCAACACAGTTGCGTTCAACAGGTCCCTCTGATGTTGGGAGCAAAGTGGTGGGGTTTAAGGTGTTGCAGACTTCAATGGTGATGCGGGGATTTTCACATAGCAGGCCCTGGTATTTGGTCAGCCTAATATCTGATAACCAGTGGTGCCCTCTGGTATTCATTAGAGTCACTACTGCATGAGGTACCTTGATATTCAGATCCTGTCCCAGAGTTAGCTGATCTGCTTCTTGTGCTAGCAGAGCAGGTGCTGCCAGGGCCCTTAAGCACGGGGGCCATCCTTTGGAAACTCCATCCAGCTGCCTGGAGAGGTAGCTACGGGCCTGGGCCAAGGTCCTGCTGTTTGAACTAGGACCCCAACTGCCACTTTTCTCTTACTGCCACATGTAATGTGAAGGGCTTTGTTAAATCAGGCAGCCCCAAAGCTGGAGCTGACATTAGTTTTATATTCAGTTCCTGATAGGTTGACGCTGCTGGGATCCCCATTCAAAGGGCTCCTTGTCTCCCCACTTTGTCACATCATAGAGGGGTTTGGCTAGTACTGCGAAGTTTGGAAATCCACAATTTACAAAACCCACCGCTCCCAGGAGCTCTCTCGCCTGCCTTTTAGTCTCAGATTCTGTCACTCTGCAAGCGGCTTGCTTCCTCTCTGCTTCTAGGCTGCGTTCCCCCTTCCAGATGGTAAGCCTCAGATACTGCATTTGCTGTTTGGCAAATCTGGGCTTTCCTTTTAGACACTTTATACCCACAGCCCTCCAGGTGCCAAAGTAAGGCATTTGTTTGCGCACCCGACTGCCATGGGGTGTCCCAATAGAAGGTTATCAGCATACGGGGGCAGCATGCAAGCAAGAAGCTTCCGGGGGGCAGTCACGGGCTGATGCCTCCCCGAGGATGATGAGAGAGGTTTTTTTTTTTAGCTCCTGGGAAGATGGGTCCAGGTGTATTGAGTGGTCACACCTGCTTCTGGGTTTCTGCCATCGAAATGCAAATAGTTTTTGACCCTCTGAGGCCAGTCCAACGCTAAAGAAGTATTCTTTAAGTCCAATGAAGTGAACCAACTATCTTCTACTGGCAATAATCCCAACTGTATATGAGTTGGGTGCAAAGCCACGCAAGCCCTGCATGAGCCTGGGTGATATTATCAGTCTTCTGCTTCTGGCTAGGAAGGCTCCACCCGGCTTCCCAAGGGACAATGAGAGCCTGGACGACCCCTGCCTAAGGCATTTTAGCTGCAGGGAGTCTCCTTTTTGAATGGCATAGTGGCCCTCGATTTTCACAACAGATTTTGCCAGAGAAGGGGGGCAGGGACAGTCCATTAAGTACAAGAAAGTCTGTTCTCTTAACAACTTAATAGCTCTAACAATATTGGTTCTGTTTTTTCCCCTGGGGGGGGGAGGTTTACAGGGCTGTCGTCCGGACTGTGGGCTCTTTGGGGGCATATGAGTCCAGCCCTCCTCCTCTCTTTTAGTCCAGTGGCCCTTCTATTAGATTGAACAGAGCCCCTTCACTTTTTATCTGGATCCTCGTGCTTAGGATCTCCCTGTTTTCCCATTAACTGTGAGCATTTTTTCCAATGTCCTATTTCTTGACAAAATGCACACAGATCGCGTTGCAGGCGCAGGCGGGCAGACTGTGGGGCTTTCCAGGAACCCCCCTTTTTCCACACTCTTGGGGGTGTTCCTCTCATAGCAGCAGCTATCAAGTCAGCCTTCCATTGAGCCTGACGTTCCCTTTCCCTATGATTTTCCCTCTGGCTTATCGCCTCTTGGTTTACAAACGCCTGGTTAGCCACTTCCAATAACTGAAGTATTCGTACATGCAAATCTTGCCTGTTTCTGCCACTACATTTGCCTGGACTTGGGAGTCCGCATTTCTCGGCAGTGACGGGGATGGTGGTTTCTAGCAGTCTATCCCTTGGCTACTGAAACAGTCACTGCCTGCTCTCTTAGCCACTTCGGAGGGTTCAAAACTAACTGCAACCACGAATCTATGTATGAAAATTGATCAAGGTGGTCTAGCTTGCTGTATATAACCTCATGCCTTACTTTGGAGACAAGAGGCCTATCTAGGGTCCCCTCTGGGGACCAACC